TTCGTCAGTCGCTTGCATGAGAAGGCATTCGCTCAAGCCACGTACGTAACAACTTGTAACTCAAAAATGGAGCACCGAAGGTCGCACCCTGCAAGAACTCGTGTCGGTCAGCACAGAGACCTGTACGTGAACATCCAGAGGAAACCGCCCAAAGATCCATCCGATCATTGATAAACAAAATACAGTATGGAGTGTATTACCCGTCAATAGATACGGAGTATTGATCCACGAGTGAAGCTTCCAACCATGCATATTACGTAACTCCACTTATTTGCAATGTCCAGAATGCCCAATCCGTAGACAGAAAGTTGGGTAATGCCAGGAGCTGGGGGAGGGGGCACGGGGCAGTGATTGCTTAACGGGTACAGAATTCTTTTGATAGGTGGTGGTCATGCCACTTGGTGAAGTTACTGAAAGTCATTGAATTATGTGCTCAAAATGGGTGCATTTTATGACATATATGACACCAAAACCTCAAAAAGTCATCAAAGTTGACCCAAGTGCAGTCCTTTGAGTATGAAGTATTGCTGCTGCATGTGGTCACAGGACTGTTAAGGCTCTCTGCAGAGAGATGTGTGCAGAAGAAGCAGTCATGTCATTACAACGACCATGTGTCTGAGGGCAACAGAGGATGCCCCAGCTGCAACACCTCTCAGGTTTGTGTGGCAGACAAGGACAGGCAGGAACCTCCTTCCCCAGCAGCAAATGCTCTTTACACCCCTGGATGGGCAGCACCACACTTGAGCCACTCTCTCTGCTGTCCTGAGCTGAAGATGTGAACTTTGCTGAGTGCCAAGCTGCAGGGACACTGCAGCTTGTTTTATGCAGTGCTGGAGAAGGCTTCTGGGAGAGCCTCCAGAGGGTGGCAGCACCTGGTGAGTGAGCTGCTGAGCCTTCCTCACCTGCTTTCAGGGAGAGGCTTTCCTGGTATCCTCTTGGCCAGGGGGGGTGGGACACGGGCTTCTGGGTCCTGGTGGTCAGAGCCTCACCAAGGCCTCCAAGCTTGGCTGAGCTCAGCTCATTTATAATCCCAAAGGAGCCCAGAAGTTCTTGCCTGTGTCTTAGCTAAGACCTTTGCCCAGGAGTGGCCATTCCCTGGACATGGGGTTATAGCAGACATGGCCACCAATGCTTACAGAAAGGGGATACACACAATACACCTCATGTTCACAGACCAGCAGCGAGGCAGACAGTCTTGGCCCTGAGCTGGTGGGTGGGGGGGGTGAGTACCCAGAGAGACCAGGGACTGAGCATTCACTACCTAGCTGGCCATGGAAGGCCTCTTCTACAGAGGTCACTCTAACCAGAGGAGCCTAGTCTCTGGCCTGGCCCCACCCCTGCAGCACATCTGATGTGTTTGAAGGTCCATAATCTTGCTGGGAGGGTGGTGAGAAACTGACTCCCCTTTGCAGAGACTGGAAGTCACAAACACCTGTGAGGGTCAATTTTGGGCATCCCCTTATTGGATTATGGAATGTGGGGAGAGCTAGTGGAGCTTTATGGGTGTGTCTAGGGGAGTATGTCCTGTGAGTCTGAGTGAATGGTACCATTTAATTTGCTGGGGCCCCAGAGGGAGCAAACAGCAAAGGCACAGTAGCCTCTGCTGGAGTCAGGACACACCCTTCTTCTGCCTTAGACATCAGGACTCCAGGTTCTCCAACCTTTGGACCCTAGGACTGACTGAGCCCAGTGGCCCAACTGAGTTCTGAGGCCTTTAATCTCTGAGGGTTACACAATAGCTTCCCTGGTTCTAGGGCCTCTGGACTTAAACTGAGCCATACTACCAGTGTCCCAGGGTTTCTAGCTTACAGGTTGCCTGTCATGGGATTTGTTGGCTACCCAAATCACATGAGCCAATTCTCCTGATAAATCCTCTCCCATACACCTATACTATCACACTAAAAAACAGGCCACTGGACATACTGGTACACATCTATGGTCCAGCTACTCAAGAGGCAAGTTCAAGGCCAGCCTCGGCAACTCTGCAAGACCATCTTGAAGGACTGTCGGCACAGTTCAGTGGTGGAGCACTGACCTAGTATGCAGGAGGCTTTGGGTTCAATCCCCAGTACAAAAAGAAAAGAAAAACCAGAGATGCTTCAAAGAACAGGATTTATTTAGGAATGAGTATTGTAAACATTTAGCAGCCATAATAAACTGCATTTTCACACAGGTTGATGCAAGGAGAGGCCTTATCACATGCATGGTCCTGGGGATAGACCAGAGCCTCACACTAGGCAGGTTCTACCACTGAGGTACAGCCCCAGGCTGCCATTTTCTCATTTTGAGACAAGATCTGACCAAGTTGCCCAGACTGGCTTCAAACTTACAATGCAGTCAGCCTTCGGAGTGGCTGGGTTCACAGGCATATGCCACCATGCTCTTCTCTAAGGGGTGCTTCAAAAGGCAAAGATAAGGATTATGCATACTGTTATGGAACAGCAATCCTTGGCCACAAGGACGATAAGTCAGAGGTGGAACAGACAATGGCTGAGCAGAAGTCCTTGCAGAAACACATTTGGTATGAGGTCCTGGTTCTGATAGTCTTGTGATGACTACTGTTGGGAACCCCTGGTGTCTGATTGGGCCCAGTCAAAGAAAGGGGTTTGGTGGATGAAGGAGCTGGCCTCCCATGCAGGTGCAAGAATGTACTGGGGTCCAACAAGCACCAGACAAGGTGTGGCCCAAGGGGCCCAGGAAGGGACAGGACACCATCCCTGCTGCTTAGGGACCTCAGGCCAAGGGTGAAGCAGCCAGACAGTGGATGTGTAGGCAAGGCCTCCCCTTAGGAGTCCCCAGTTGGCCCCACCCTCCTATGGAGCATCTGAGGAAGGGTGCTGACAATCTCCCTTTGCTAGCTTTGGGTGAGGACTAGAGCCAGACTCCAGCTGAGCCTTGTCTAAGTGAGGGGCACAGGGGACAAAGGAAGAGATTTGGTGGTTTTGCTCTTCCCCTCCAGGCTGCCTGCTGTGGTTCAAATGTATCCACTAAGAGTTCATGGGTTGGACACCTAATCCCCAAGTGCATAGTGGTGTTTGGGGGAGGAGCTTTTGAGAGATAATTAGAGGAAGTCATAAGACTGGGGCCCCATGATGGCATTAGTGGCTTTATAAGAGACCTGAGCTGGGCGCCATGGCAGTTCAAGAGGCTGAGGCAGGAGAATGACAAGTTTGAGGCCAGCCTTGGCAACTTGGTGAGACCCTGTCTCAAAAAATAAAAAGAGCTGGGTACAGTGGCACATACCTGTAATCCCAGTGGCTCGGGAGGCTGAGACAGGAGGATCACAAGTTCAAAGCCAGCCTCAGCAACAGTGAGATGCTAAACAACTCAGTGAGACCCTGTCTTTAAATGAAATATAAAATAGGGCTGGGGATGTGGCTTAGTGGTTGAATTTCCTTGAGTTCAATCTCTGGTACCAATAAAATAAAATTAATAAATAAAAAGAGTTGAGAACGTAGCTCAGTGGCAAAGTGTCCCAAGGTTTAATGCCCAGTATCACAAAAAATAGAGAGACCTGAGTTGCCATGCATACTGTCCTTCCCTGCAATGCCCTGTGCCATATTCTAATGCACAGTGCTGTGTCAGATGCCATCACCTTGCTCCTGGACTTCCTGCCTCAAATCCATGATTCAAATAAACCTCTACTCTTCAAAATCACACAGTCTCAGGTATTTTGTTACAGCAACAGAAAATAGACCATTTCTTTACTGCCTTCTGGGCCATATCACCAGCCCTTAGAGACTGACCTACTGGGACAAACAGACGTTTGTCTCTGAAACCCTGTGCCCAGGAAACTCTAGTCACTAAGGAGCCCTGGCCCCAGCCTGATGCCAAGGATAGATCTTACTAACATCACACAAATGGACAGAACTGGTGGACACTGCAGCTAGCAGTGAAAGAATGGATGTCCACATGGCTCCAAGTGATTTCAAATAACTTGCTAATTATAAGGGGAAACTTGGGCCCAGTCAAAGGAAGGGGTTTGGTGGATGAAGGAGCTGGCTTCTCAACTTTGTAGTAGGAAGCCTGGCACAGCTCCTGGCCAATAATGTTAACAGCACCAAAGGTAGACAAGTGGACATCATGTGCTCCCAAGGTGACACCCTGTCAAGGACAGCATGCCACAAACACATGAACTACATCTCATCATGAGAATCATGAGACACACCCAAACAGGGCCACTCCTCAGCAGGTAGCAGCTCTCAATGACTGAGGTAGCCAGTGTTCTCTACACAGAGGACAACAGCTGCCAAGAAAATCCCATGATAGGGCCACACAGCCCTGGGTTGGGCTCAGGGGCAGGATCCTTCCTGATGGGAGCCCAGAAATGGTGGAAGGACGTGGATATGTAGCACAAGGATAGGCAGGGTGGCCAGGCACAGCAGGGGGGGAAACAGGCAGGATATATGATGGCCCCTGTCACTGAGCCCCAGCAACTGCATGCTGCCAAGCCCCAGTCAGAGGCTTCTGCATTTGAGGCCAGAAGCTGGCTACAGGCCTCCTGGAAGGCAGCCCCTAGCATCACAGGGGTCAGAGGCTGTTTTGAGCAGGCTTTTAGTGGGCACAATCCAATGAAAGACCCTTTGGCACTCATCAGCTGGTTTCTACTGGCCCTTGGGAGAAGACCAGGACAGGGAGCTGCTAAGGGACTGCTCTGGACTCCACCCCCTCTCTGCACCAGAACAACAGCAGAAAGCCCCAAGGCCCCTAGAGGCTGCAGGATGGGTGGAGTCAGTTCATTCCAGGGAGTGACTTACCTCCAGTCCTGCCCTTATGCCTAGCTGAGGCCATAATGAGGGTATGGTGCCATGTCCTCTGGGGCCTGTGCCAGAGCCCAGGGCCTGCACACCCACCCAACAGCACTGCTGTAGGGAGCCCCAAACAAGAAACAGGCCATGGCAGTCCCCTCAATAAAATCAAGTCTGCCCTGGAAGTGTCTGCCCGCCCCACCCTGAAGCCTCCTCAGACCTGCTGCACACATTCAACAGGCAAGACCACGCTGGTGCTCCACACGTGTGGGAGGCTTTATTGTCACCACGGGGAAAGGCAGAGTCAGGGAGCTGGACACAGGATGCATACCTATAGTCCCAGCTAATAAGGAGACTGAGGCAGGACCACTTGAACCCAGTTATAGACCAGCCTGGGCAACACAGTGAGACCCCTTCTCAAGACAAAACAAAAAAGGCAAGGTCAGGACCTATCCCCACCAGCACCCTCCACTGGGTACTTAGTGTTGCTGTGGCCTGCAGCAAAGGAATATGGGCATTCCCAAGTGCCGTGAGACGGGCAGGGCTCACTGCCCTCAGCACAGACATTTCCACACCACCCAGCACCTTCAGGCTTCCCTCTCCCTGGGGTGCTTGGCTTACACAGGATCCTGGCAGGAAACCTGGACCTAAGTGCCAAACTACATCCTGGAGGCCACTCGTGGTAGTCCACAGAACTGTCTGCCCACAAGAAGCCAGTGAGAAGATGGAAGATTTCATCAAAGGACCTGTCCCATTGAGTATTGGGCAGAAGTGGGGCAGCCAGGTGGCTGGACACCCACTTTCCAAAAAGGTAACTCCAGTTGACCAGATGGCCCAGCTTCCAGCGAAGGGGCACAAATGTCTTGTCAACATCCTCCTCACGAAGCAGTCCCCAGGAAGCACCGACAAACCAGCCTGCCTAGCTCAGGATGAGGGCTCCGGTCCATAAGGGCTGGGGCTGGGTCAGCAGCTGCTTCAACTCCCAGATGGGGTCATTCTACTGCAGCAGCTGGAAGTCCTCAGGGACCTAGGAGTGCATCCTGGGAGGGTCCCTCCGCCCCACCTGACAGGGTGGGGCTGCTAGGGACCAGCCAGGAAGACCTGCCAGCACCCTCACAGGGTCTGGGTGTGGTGGTACTCCTGGGCAAGCCTGGGGGCTGCCAGGCATCACAACAGACCAGGGGGAGGCTCCCAAGGCAGATGGTGCTAGAGAGGGATGGGGTTGTGGGGTGGCAGCTGACTGCCTGGCAGGGACTGCATAGGCCCCCAAGATCCAGAACAGGCACTCAAGAGCAAGGCCTGCCCTCACTCAGGAGCACAGTGTGACCTGGCCTGCCCACAAGGTCAATACCATCCTGGCAGAGGGCAGGAAGACCAAGCTGTGCAGTGGTACTGGGAGGGCTGTGGCAGTCCCTCAATCCTGCTTGTCCCCTCCTTGCCTCCAGGGGTAGATAAGCTCTCCAAAGAACAGCTTGCGGCACAGGGAGCCCCAAGAGTGTTTGGGGTGGCAACCACAGCTGGGCAAGCGGTAGGTGTGCACCACACGGCTGTAGGGCAGAGGGTTTATCTGGAAGGACAGGGCAGTGGTTAGTGGGTTGTTGGGAATGTTTCACCCATGTCTGCACAGAAAGCACTGGGATGTGGGCACTGTGGCTTGCAGGGCTGACCCCAGGGAGGCAGGTGATCCATATTCCCCTGGAACAGCGAGATGAGGTGGGAGCTATACATTCTCTTGGAGTGCTCCCTGCCAGGGTTCACTTAGCTCCCAAGGGCCTCCTGGGGCAGGTAAAATCACAAAGTCCTTGGCTGCCTCAACATCTAAAAGTCACCACATTTAGCAGGAAGGATTCACCCAAGAGGCAGCCTGACACCTGGAAAGTGACCCCAAACTTGCCCTGCTCCCTCCTGCAGGAACCAAGCACCCAGGACTATTTAAGATGAAGGAGTTTTATGGGTGCAGAGTCATAGGGCACACCTGCATGTCCCAAGGCTTTCACAAAGTCAGTTCTGTTCCATCCAGAACTTGAGTCCCATAGGGCCCATGGCAAAAGATGACCCAGGCCAAGTGGGGTTGCCCCCAGCAACCCAGGGTATCTGTGACTCTGGGCAGGGGGCCTTCATAGGCTAAACGGGGCCAGGCATCAGTCATGCAGACCACAGTAAGTGCTCCAGCCCTGCTGGCCATGGTGCCTAAAAGCCTGGGTGGCTTCCTCTATGGAATCTACCCCTTGGCTCCACTGGGTCCTGGCCCCAGCTGTTCCAGAACCAGGCAGAACATGGTAGGAGTCCCAGTCCTGGGTTGAAATGGAGGGTACAGAGAGGCTTTACCTGCATCAGGAGGCGAAGAGGCCTGCCTACTTCATGCTCTAGGACACGGAACTTCACACCAGCTGTAAGGAGAACAGGGTGCTTAAGAGTGGGTAGGTCTACCCCATGAAGCACATGGGCCCCGCAGACAGCTTTCATGGACCCTGCTGGGGTGCAGCAGCCACTTGCTGATATGGGTGGAGACTTCTAACAGTGAAGACCCCTTCCCCTGGGCACACCCAGATGGCACCCGGACCTTCTGGGCATATACAGCTTTCCCTCCCCACACCCTGTGGATCTGCCTATTTGGGGCTGGCTCCTAGGCAACGTTGAAACCTCTGAATGTCACTGGCAAGCAGAAGCTGAGGTCTGGCAGGCTAGGAAGAGCAGGATAGGTGCCAGGCGGGTGCAGACTATGCTGCTTTCTTGACAGGACAGGGCATTTGCTGGGTGGTGGCCGCCCTACTAGCCTCTGTCCTCCAACTTTTGTGTGGCTGGCTGATCTGAGGACCCTCAGGAGCCTGGCCTGCAGTTCAGGCTCTCTAGCCTAGATCCTCCCAAGGTGGAAAGTTCTGGAAAAGAACAGGAGTGAAGAGTTCCCAAAGCTAACATGGAGAGGGAGAACACAGCATCCATGGCTTTTCATATGAGGTGAAAAGGACCCTGCTCTGGCCATAAGCCACGGGTGGTGAGGAAGGAGCCAGGCTGCCATAGGGACTTGCTCTGCCCCTGCCTGGTCCTCCAGCCCTGAGGTGAACAAGAGGTCAGGGAAGAGGGCACGTGGGCAAAGGTGCACATGGGTCCCTGGCCTAGGCCATGTGGAGGGAGCAGGAAAAGTGGCTTGCAAAGATGTTCTCAAAAGGGTTTGTAGGTGTCCAGCAGCAGGGGGATGCCCAGCCTCCAAGGAGGCAGACCTTGGCTCAAAGCTGACAAATGTGTTTCTACATCCTCCTGCTCTGAGATGGCTGGCAGAGCCACCAGGGCATGCTGGTCACCTTTGACACCACCTGAATGGGTGCCAGATGGTGGCTATCAGGTCATTGTCAGGTCCCCTGCTGTGCTCTAAGCCCCTGAGCCAGATGAGCTGACCCACAACCTCACATCCACCAGGGTCGGCCTTCCCTCAAAGGCATCTCCCCTGAGCCAGTATCAGAACACAATGGGACAGCCACCTGTGGTATGGACTGTGCTGGGTATTGGCTTGACAGTGCAGGGCACTCCTATCACACAGGGTCTGGCCAGCCTGCAGCCCTCATCCCAGTTTGCCTCCAAGGCTGGTGGGTACTATCAGGCATGTGCTCACACAACCACATGGGGCTGGATCTTCCCTGAGCTACAGTCAGACAAGATGTACCTAATGTAGACAGACCCTAGAGCAAGCCACACATATTACAGAAGGGAGGGAGGCATAGAAAGAGCTGCCTCTGGGCCTCAAGTCTCTGTGTACCTGAACTTCAGCCTAAGGGGGGCCTCTCCCTCCACCTCACTGAAGGCAGCTGCTCAGCAATGTCTGGGACCAGGAGGCCCTGTCTGCCCTGCCATACACACCACGCATGCTACTGCTTCCAGGAAGGAGATGCAAGTGTGACAGCCAGTGTGGCAGTTGCTTTGACAGGGCCTGCCAGGCGACTGGTGCTCAGCACACAGCACTCACCTGCCAGTCTGTAGGGCCGGCAAAGCCGGAGTCCAAGGGAATACAGAGGCAGGGTGTTGACGAGGTCCACGAGCAGATGGATCAAGCCCTGCACGGTGACCACCAGGAGCCGGAGCTGCAGTAGGGGCAACACTGAGGGCTTCTGAGCCAGGACATGACCAGAGCACGCTGGCCATGCCCCCAAGCAGAGCAACCCAACAGTTCTGGGCTATGGCCAAGGTTCCTGACCCTAAGGCCCAGATACCCAGGAGGCAGGAAGGAAACAGCAGCCCTGCCCTGGGCAGAGCCGGGGACAGAGCAGTCAACCCTCCCACCAGGTCAGAGATGGTGCATCCCATGGCCCACGTGCTGACAAATCATGCCAGAGAGCCTGGGCCAGCAGGGTGCTGCCCACCTCCAGCACACAGCACTGAAGGAGCGCTCCTCCACAGCCCCACCTCTTCTTCCAGCATAAGCCACATGCCTCAGAGAAGGAAGGGTTAGGGACCTTTAACTACTCCAGGACCTAGCACTGCCCAGAGGGTCTAGAACAACCAAGCTAATGTGGCCTATGGGGTGGACAGCCTGACCCATAGCTGCCCGTCTCACAGGCAGAGATGGCAATGACCCCATGTAATGATGTGTTTGGCTCACCAGGGTGAACACCAGGTAGTACAGGGCCGTGGTGGGTAGAAGGAAGACCAGGATGGTGAACAGCAAGGTCCCAATGAACAGCTGTGGGGAGAAGGGGGTGGCACACCTGGCATCACAAGACCCTGGGCAAGGGCAGCCCTTACAGCACTGGCCATATTCTGTTGCCCACCCCTACTGATCTTGCAACTACAGTCCGGATCTTTCAGCCTCCTGAATGCACTCAGGACAGCCTGCTCAGGCAGCTTTCTTAATACCACACAGGGTACACCCAGGAGCCCTGTGGACATGGTGCCTCACGGGGAGACTGGCCAGTGGGATACACAGCTCACGTTAGGAAAGACTGTCCCTGTAGCAGGGCTAGCAAGAGAATGGGACAAGCCAGAGTAGGCTTTGTGTCTGAAGCCTCAGGGCCTAGAGAGACCAGGGAGCTGGGGAGTGGAAGCAGGGTCTGTCTCCTAGCTGGGGGAAAACCTGCACTATCTGAAGGCACCCCCTCCCCATGGCAACTATGGACAAGAGCAGGCTGCCCCGGTAGAGCCCAAGAAGCTGCACTGGCAGGGCCAGAAGGAATGGAGATGGGGTCAGCCATGTAGGCTAGCTGCAGCCAGGAGCACCTCCCACACAAGCCTTGCTGGTACCTGGTCTAGGTTGTAGGAGCAGGAGTCCACCCGCTGGCGCAGAACATTCCACTTCTTCCCCCGGAAGAGACGCCAGAGAGATGATAGGCCGTAGATCTTTAGGCAGTACAGCCTGCAGGACGCAGGCACTGAGGGCCAGCCAAGCCCACATCACACTACACAGCTCACCCACTGGCCCCAGAGCCTGTTGTTTACCCTGGGCTGGGAGGGCTGCACCCAGGAAGTACATGCCTACCTGGCACCATAGACATAGAAGCAATAGATGTGGAAGGTGAGGAGAGCGATGATGTCCGACAGGATGGATAGGGCAACTGTCAGACCCAGGCAGGCTGAGAGACCCACGTGCCACAGGATGCGCTCGATGAAAGGGGACATGAGGTGGATGTAGCCTGGCAGGACAGGGCCAGCCCTGAGGAGACGCCTGAGGTGGTCCTGGGACCGCCCCCATCCCCAGCTTCTGAGGATGGACCCCTCACGGAACTTCAAGTGCACAGACCATGTCACTGGCCCTGACCCTCAGCTAAGATGGCCTAGCAAAGCAGGCTTCACACGCACGGGAAGCCAGGAAGAGGGGACAAAGGAGGCAGGGCCTACCTGGGCCCCACAGTCCTCCTTAGGTGGGGATCAGGTCCCTGTCCCATGAAGCCCTGCTGGGACTACCCATCCCCCCTGTTAGGCACTCACTGATCCACAGGTGAATGTGGTACAGGAAGAAGCGGCCCAGCACCTGGTCTAGCGCCCGGTTCATCTTAAGTCCAGCTGGAGCACCCATCAGCCACTGCAGCAAATGCTGGAGCTCCTCGGCCACGTGCTGCAGGGACATGGTAGTAGGGGGCATGTTGGGGGCAGGTAGGTAGTTTGGGTCAGTATCTACACCTCCTGAGATTGCCTATAATGGGCTCCTACTGAGGCCAGCTCATTGGGCAGAGCAAAGACAGTCCATGCATCCTTCCTCCTCAGGTTCAGACTACCATCTCCTAATGTAGGTGGGCAATGTTTCCCAGTCTGGCCATGGAACCTCTCTTCACAAATGAGTTCTGGGACTTGGACCTCTCCCAGCAGGCTCTAGTTGCTCCCTGGCCCACTGGGCACATGGTCCTCAGTGAGCACCAATTTCCACATAAGAATATTCCTCTTGGGCTGGGGTTATAGCTCAGTGGCAGAGCGCTTGCCTGGCATGTGTGAGGCACTGGGTTCGATTCTCAGCACCGCATATAAATAAATGAATAAAATAAAGGTTCATCAACATATAAAAAAATAAAATAAAGACTATTCCTCTCCCTCCCATCTCACCACTTTCACCTCAACCCAATGCCTCAACATGTCCAAAGCTGGACAATGGCTCACCTCAAGCCCTGCAGGGAAGCCTGCCAAAGATCCCACCCCACCCACCACCTTCCAACAGAGGCCTGGGGATGACCTCAGCAAAGTGAGAGGGTATCAGGCCCAGCAGGGGCCCAGACAACAGGTGGGATCACTGGAAGCAGGGTCCCCCAGAGGATAGGACAAGGGCAAGAGATAGCGCAGGGACCTTGAAAACAAGCAGGGAAGCTGGGTCCTGGCCACCCAGGGGAGCCAGGGTCCAGGAACAGCATTGTCCACAGGGGTAGGCCCTGAAGGGCCTTCAGCTTTGCAGCCAAAGCAAGGCCACAGGAGCAACACCTCTGCACCCCCATCCACCCACATCAAAGACCCCTCCCAACTCCACACTAAGATCTCAGTTGTTTCAGAACTGGCAAGAAGAGAAGAACATTCTTTATAAATAGAACTTATTTAATATTTAAGGGATAAGCGCATGGCAGCAAAAAGAAACTTTCATTTTTTAATTAAATATTGATATTTTTGAGCAATTTTGCAAAAGGGAGGTCTAGGACAAACTTGGCCAAGAGGTAGAGTGTGGAAGCAGCCAAGCCCTCCCCCACTTTCCTTCTGTGCTGGCCTCCATGCATCCCCACAGCCCAAGGAGAGCCAAGAGGTGCTTACTCTTGCCCCCAGAGTCCTGGCCTGGCCATAAGCAAGCCCATCCCTGCCGCCTAGACAATGACAGGGCAGAGACTGAGTCTCCAAAGGCCACGGTTGGGCTAAAGGGCAAAAGGAACCACCCTAAGGGAAGACAAGCTCCTAATGGGAGAGAAAGGGCTTCAGCTCCAAGGAAGGGAGACAGACGCGGAAGGCTCCAAGGCATTGTGGAAATACTGTATGCAGGCCAGAGGGAGGAGCCAGAAGGGCTGCCCCTGACCTGAGCATGGTGCACAGACACTGCAGGGGAAGTCAGGGACACAGATGCCAAACTTGTGCCCCTGGGTCTCAGCATGGGAATCACAATCAATGCAGACAGCCTCAGGCACTGAGAAGTTTCCTGATGCTGACCACAGAGGGCACCATCAGCCAGGAGAGCAGAACTGATCCCAAAGAGGAGAATCAACGAAGAGTCACGATACTGGGCCTGACGGGAGGAGGGGCTCCCCTTAAAAGCCTCAACTACAAATGCACATAGGCACCTTCAGGAAGGGAAGGTGGGTACTTGGCAAATGCTGCCCCGCAAGACACAGGTCCCAAAAGACCCCAACAGCACATGCTCAGGGTATTTTTAAGGTGAGGTCAAGAAAACTGCTCCAGGCAACAAAGGGGAGTCAGCTTCCTCCAGGAGAGCCCTCCACCCAGAAACCAGGTTCCACCCTGACCCACTCACGTCAGCCACAGGGACGAGGGCATCAGCCAGTTGTCCAATTCGGTTGCTGCTGTGGAGCCAGGACAGCAATATGAGGCCAAGGGCCACGTCCAGGAGCACAGAGACCAGCATGTTGGCCTTCCTGGAAGAGGGTCAGCCAGGAGTGATGTGAGGCAGCCCAGGGAAGCCTGAGGTCACATGGGGAGGCCTGGCTGAGGGCATCAGTGCAACAGGTCTGGTACAGAATGGGGGTGAGGAAAGGGCTGGGCCCATGGCCGTCCCACCTTGGAAGGAGACCCCAAGCCAGGCCCACACCTCATCAGCTGGGCGGGACTTTGGGCCTTCTGGGTGCTGAAGACAAGGGTTAGATGGTCAAGCCGGTGCCGGAGCTGTTCACAGGTGGAGAGCTTACTCCTGATGAAGGGCAGGGGCCACAGTTTCCACAGCCTGCAGGGAACACAAGAGACCAGGGCTTCTGCCTCTGTTCCTCCAGGTGCTCCTTCCTGCTAATGCCCCTCACCCTGCAGGAACAGAGCAAAAGCCAAGTCAGACTTAGTCTGAGAACCCAGTAGCCTCACTCCAGAACTCAGCAGGGCAAGGAGGTTGCAGAGACCCAAGGGGCCTAGCAAGGAAGCACAAGTCGGGTAGGCAAAACTCCCAGAAGGTGGCCTTCCAATTCATAGAGCCTGCCTTCCTCACAAAGCTCTGTCCTGAAGCACATCTCCACCCATCAACCTACTCCCAAGGTTAAGTCTCAAGATGGCCCCAAGATGGTATCAGGTGACCTTCTGGACACCGAGCCTTGCCCTGCCTGCCAGATGGCTCAGCAAAGGTTGCTGGAGCTGACCGCTCCACAAGGAGCATGGCTTTCTCACAAGGCATACCCACAGGCTTTCACATACTAGAGATGTTTGAGGGCTAAGGTAGAAAAAATTGCCCAATGGCAACTTGGCTTTATACATAGAAGTCTGAGAACCAGAGACTCACGTCCAGGGGCACAGACACCATTACGTCTGCCTCTCTGTAGGCAGGAAAAAACTAAAAGGCTCCTAGAAAGTGCAGAGCTACAACTAATGCATGCCTAAGACCCGGGAAGGAAGGGGAGGCCTGATCTTAGAAGGTTGAAAGGCCTCCTTCCTCTTCAAATGATTGGCTCTGAGTCACTTCCAAGAATGTGCCTCTTCATCCTAAGTGCCAACCAGGCAGAAGGTGACTTCTCACTGGCTGCATGGAGACCCCCACCTGTGCAGTGGTCCCTCCAAGGCTGCAGATGGGTTCTGCATGGCCTAGGTCCCTCAGGACACCCCTGAAGCAGCTAGGCAAGGCACAAAACCATGAGGGGGGAAGGGGGTTTTACTCCTGTAGTGACAGTCATGCTTTCAGTGCTGATAGCCACCAACCATATGTCTGACAGGAGAATCAATATCTAGTGCACACGAGCAGCTCTTAACCTTCCTGGGTCCTCTGAGAACATGATAAAAGCTGAAGACCTTCTCTGACAGAACTGCACCTCCGTTCAACACATACCTCCACCTCACTCATCCCAAAGCTGTCATGAAACCCTCAAACTCACTCTTCACATCAAGATCCCCAGCAGCTCCCACAAGCCAAGTGTGTCCTCCTAGACTGCCAGGGGCTCTCTTCCCAGGCCAGTGCCCAAGCTTACTCAGAGCCCCTGAGTAGGCAGGGAAGGCAAATCCCCACACCTCAGGGAAGGAGACAAATGAGGACGTGTAGTTGCTTCCACAGGGAGATAGCACCAAAGAAACATCTCCTCAGGCTGAAAGGGGCTCCCAGCTCCTAGGCCCTCTGTTCACAACACCCCCTGGCACTCCTGGCACCCTTGCAGGTGCTTTTGGAGATCAGCCAGCACCCAGGGAGTCAGCCTGGGTGACTGAATGCCACCCCATACCCTGGAGGGACTGCCTCTCCTGGAGGAAGCAATTGCAGCACCTGAAGCCCTGCTGGGTGGAGAAGTGGGGGCAGCAGGAAAGCACTGGGCCTGTGTGCCTCAAGAAGTCAGCACCTCAGGAAGGGCAGACCTCATCTGATTTCTCTTTCAGGGATCTGAGCTATCTGCAGCTCATACTCCCGTCTGGTGAGCCCCATGCAATAACCAAGGCTGCTGGAAGAACTGGCTCCACCCCAGGAGTAAGAAACATTAGGAACCACAGCCACCCCTGGGATGTCCCATGAGATGTGCAGGGGAGGGAAGGCAATTTGAAGTCCCAGGGTGAGCTATACACCTAAGGAAGGGCCCACATGAGCCTGGGCCCCTGCACACTTGAGGGGCAACTCTTAATGGCCTGCCCATTTTCCATACCCTCCAAATCCCAGGAGCACCTACCGGCAGCCACTGGCTGCTGAGATCAGTGACAGCAGACAGGCTAGCAGCAGGCAGACTGGCCCTGAGGCCCGCTTTGCCAGCTCCACAAGAACACTGGCCTCCACACCCTCTGACTGCCAGTGGCTCAGCCGCACAGGGCCTTCATCATACTGGTCACTGCAGAACAGCACCTCGCTGCGTGCCACCGTATCAAAGACCACAGCCAGGCCCCCAGTACTAGCCATAGCATCTCCATCCTGGTGATCAGATACGACTGTAGGTGGGTGCAGCTGGGATAGCAGCACCTTGCGCTGGTCATAGAAGATTAGCATGACCTGGTCTTCGTTGGAGACATCAGGGGCAGCAGACACTTGCCGGTGGATGGCCTTGCAGCTCCAGAACTTGCTGCCCCTCTCCCGGCACAGCTGTAGCCAAGGCTCATGGGAGAAGATGGTGCCCAGGCCCTCCAGGAAGTGGCCCAGGCTCTCCTCGGGTTCTTGCTGGCGGTGGCACCAGGTGCCCAGCACGGCCATGCCCACCTGACTGGCCTGCTGCACCTGGGCCAGGAGCTCCTTGACCTGGATGGGGATGAAGGGAAAGTGCACTACAGCCAGCACTATAGCACTGCTCTGCTCCGGGACCCACCGTCCCACCAGCAGGCCACTGTCTGCTGAGGCACAGCATGTTGGGAAGAAGGCCTTGAGCACCATGCCAGGGACCCTGCAAGAGAGGGGAGAGGGCTAACTCAGGGCATGCTACAGGACGTGGCAAACAGTCCTGGCAGACGCTGGGGGAACCCAGTTCTGGGTTTGGTGGAAGAGATTGGTAGGTCTTGGCCACCCATCTCACATGGGCTATGCTCCTGAGGCCAGCCTGAGTGTTGCCCCATGAAGCAGCAGCTGCATGTACAATAGCAAGTCAAGGTGATGTGCATGATAGATATCACCTGAAAGGGGTACCGGAGCTACAGGTAAAGGACTCTGATCATCTGTGTATTTTTTTCTTTTTTGGTGGTGCCTGGGATTGAACCCAGGACCTCACACATGCTAAGCAAGAGATCTACCACCAAGCTGCATGCCTAACTTTTCTTATTTATTTATTTTTAATTTTTTGGTACAGGGGTTGAACCTAGGGGCACTTAACCACGGATCCACATCCCCAGCCCTTTTTATTTAGGGGCAGGGTCTCACTGAGTTGCTTAGGTCCTCTCTAAGTTGCTGAGGCTGGCTTTGAACTTGTAATCCTCCTGCCTCAGCCTCCCACATAGCTGGGATTACAGATGTGTGCCATGGCACCAGGCTAGAGACTTTTTTGAGCAGCATATGGCAAAATGTACAGTCTCAACAAAGTAAAACAAATTACAGGGGCTGAGGTTGTGGCTCAGTGGTAGCGCACTTACCTGGCATGTGTGAGGTACTGGGTTCAATTCTCAGCACCGCGTATAAATAAATAAAAAATATTTTGGGGGCTCAGTGGCAGAGCACTTGCCTAGCATGTGAGGCAGTGGGTTCGATACAAATAAATAAAAAAAATAAAGGTCCATCAACAACTAAAAAAAAATACAAATACAATAAACAAAATATTTTTAAAAAATTACAACTTTAACAAACCAGGATTCATATATTAAGTTAACAAGAATAGGGGTTGGGGTTGTGGTACAGTGCTTGCCTAGCATGTGTGAGGCACTGGGTTCAATCCTCAGCACCACATAAATAAATAAAGGTCCATCAACAACTAAAAAAAAAGTTAACAAGAATAAAGAGAGCTGGGGTTGTGGCTCAGTGGTAGAGCACTCACCTAGCACATGTGAGATCCTGGGTTTAATCCTCAGCACCACATATAAATAAATAAAATAAAGGTACTGTATCCATCTACAACCAAAAAATAAATTAAAAAAAAAAAAAAAGATAAAAATTTAAAACATTGTGCTTCTGGACTGAGGGAAACCAACCATACATACATAGTTAGGCACCCACGCAGTGGCCCAGGAGGTGCCAGAATCTGAAGGAGCCTCCCCTTCACAGCAGGGAGAGCATCCACCGGCCACCACATTCAGAAAAATAGACTCTGCTGTTCTCACAGGGTTTCTGAATCCACTCTGACTCTCCACCCTACCTGCAACGACCCTGAGCGGTACTCATCTTTCCCTGGGATTCCCAGCAGCTACCTCAGATCAGGGCTCCCAGCAGGGGAGTATTTTCCCAACTTTGGGATGTATTTCTTCAACCATATAGCCATCTAGACATGGGGTGGCAGTTCATGGGCCCTGGAGGTATGGAAGACTACCCTCATGTTCTCTCAGACTGAGAGGACACCAGCCTTCCTGGCCCCTCAATATCTCAATGTGGCCTTGGAGCATTAAGAAAAGCCCCAAGCAGCTGCAAATCCTGAACTCTGCAGGGCCCCAGGCCTTTCCTTCCCAGAGGTGAACTAGTGAGGCTGAAACCTTTTTGCCCTGCAAAGAAGGACAGCTTCCCATTCCTTCACCAGAGTCCTTTCCAACAGGCCTAATGGACAGGACCACCTTGCCCCATATGGTGGTGAGGGCCTGCTAGGCTAGCTGGCAGGATCTGGGTGCCCATGTCTGCCCATCTCGCCTACATAAATGACAGCAGACATCCTGAGCAAAGACCCCCAAGCTGGTGGCCACACTAAGGGAGGGAAACAGACCTTGGACTCAGCATGGGCCTCCAGGTTCAGCGCTCATGAAGCCCTTAGAGACAAGGGGACAGAGTAGGACACACATGTCTGTGAGGGCCTCACACAGACACAATCGGCCAGGGCTTAAGAGACCATGGTGTAATTGCTATCGGCCCTGCAGGTACACCAGACCAGTAGCTGGAGGGTACTTTGATAGCTATGGGTCCTGGTTGAAAAGGGTACCTACAGATCCAGCTGCAGAACTCCCAGATGCCCCTTCCCCATAATATTTAGAGAGGGCGGTCAATCAGCTGATACCACTGGGATAACCCTCATGACCAACAGGGGGCCCCATGGCTGGCATTAAGGGCCAATTTCTTTTCCAGTCCCTTCTGCAGGGCTTGACTCCAGGGAACCACTGACACAAGGCACCAGGGGCATTGTGAGAGGGACAGAGAGATTCTGGCTGTGAGGTGCCCAGCATTTGGCTGGTGACTGCCACAGTCGACAACTCAGAAAGGTATAAGTTTTTCCTGTCAGTCAACCCTTCAGAACACATCAGCTGTGAATCATCACGCCTGGTGGGGGACATCTTCCACAGGAACTGAGGGAAATGGTCCATGGCTATTGATGGAAGAGAAACACCTTTGGCCTAACAGTAAACAGATGGTGGGTAGCTGGGTAAGTTGCATGCACACAATCTGTGCGCTTCCTTTGTGTGTAGCATGGTTCATGTACAACGTTTACCTTAAAAACAAAACAAGATAAATAGCTCCTCACGTCTAAGGAAGGAGATTGGAAGGCAGATGTTTATGTTCGGATCCGTGGGGCGCCAGAGAACTCAACAAATGATGGGGCAAATTCTCATCTCTACTCCCACCTCAGCCTCTAGGAGTGAAGGCGGCGCAAGCGAGAGCGCTCGCCAGGCTGCGGGGAATCCAGCAGCCAGAAAAAGATGAAAGAGCAGGCGATCGATAGCAGAGAAGGCGCGGGACTGAGAGGCAGGCAGGATTTGGGCAAGGAGAGCATCTTGAAAGCCCTGGTTGAAAGCACGGCCTGAGCCCGGGCGAGCTCCTCTGCCAGGAAGGAGACAGCCCCCAGCGCGAGGCGGGGGCGAAAGAACTGCTCCCGCGGAGCTCCGCCTCCGCATGAACGGGCCAGGGGACGCGGGGGACACCCGCTGGAACCCTCCTTGGGTGAGGCCTCTCCAGGGTGCAGCTCCACCCGCACGGTTTAAACAACGAAACGAAACTCTCCTGCCTTCCGAACAGGTGAACCTCTTCCGCCCGTCCCCGCGGTGAGGAGCCGCGGCCAGGACGCCCCAGGCCCCGTCGGCGCGCCCAGGCGGGTGCAGACAGGGCGGCAGCGGCGTCCCCGCGGCGCGGACGAGGAAACGAGCCCGCGGCCCGGAGACGCCCCACGGACCCTCGCTCCCGCCGCCCGGCCGGCGGCTCCCCGGACTCCCCGCAGACACCGGCCTCCCCCCTGCTCACCGGCTGCTGCCCCGGGCCGCGCCCCCGGGCGGCGGGGAGGGGACGGGGTTGGGGACCGCGTCGGGCGGGCCCGGGCGGACGACGGCGCTCGCGGCCCCCAGCCCCGCCGCGGCCGCGCCGCGGGACACTAGCCCCATTTCCGTCCGCTCTGCGCGTTGCCGCGCGACGGTCCGGCCCCCAAAGGCGCCCGGGCTGCCCGCTGGCCGCGCCCGAGCGTTCCGCGCGCGCGGCGGTCCTGCCTGAGCGGTATCCTCTTCCGAGGGATCCGGAGGGCCCGGCCCTGGGGGACCCCGACGCCCCTTGGCCCCGCCTTCCCAGGGTGAAGGGACCGCCAGGCCCCGTGTGGAATCCTAAAGGAGCTGTCCGCGGCCCCAGGCCGTACCTCCCACACTACTGTCTGCCTGTGGGCTGCCCCAGACCTCTGCAGGCCTGCTGTGCGAAGCCTGCTGGGTCCAGTTTAGGCCGCAGCCACGGGATTACCAGGAGCGCGCACTCAGGAGTCGCTAGCCCCTCCCGCCACAGGCGCAAAATCTCAGACCAGGGCAGCTTCTAACATTTATTGTGCACCTACTCCGCTTGCTTTCTACATCTGCCCATGTAATCCCCCACCCACAGGGGCCCGGACATATTGAGAAAATCTCAACAGGTGTAACCACAGATGTCAGTGTCCTGGTGATAGATGGAGCGCCACCTCACAGCCTGCAGGGGCCGGGCAAGGCAATGAAGACCCCTCACAGGTTCGCAGACTGCTGGGTAAAACCCCCAAGCACCCACCCCCACACTTGTCCCCTTTCAAGTCTCATTTCCCCAGTTGTAACATAGGAGAAAAGGCCATGGTTTTTCTCCTTTTTTTTAAAGCACCAGAAGTCTGTCCTCAGAGGAAGGCTACTCAGGACCTATGCTACCTAGAACCTCCCAACCTTCCTGCCCCGTGCACTTGGAGCTTTTTGGATGCAATTTGCAGAGAATTGAAGACTCAGTCTTCAAAATGGTTTCACATGGGGGAGTGGAGGAGCGGGCACTGAGACTCCAGACCCAGCCATGTGCTTCCCAGATTACCTCAAAGTTTGCCCCTCTGTTCTGTCTCCTCCTTACCTCTGCTCGACCCAGAAAAGCTGCTGAAAACTCAGTACTGTGGGTGCCTCTGAGGTTGGGGGACACTGAGGGGCCACACCCCTGCCCCAAGCCTCCCAGCCCAGCCACACCCACCCTGCCTGCCTCTGATTAGGATCCTCCCTGGTATGTGCTGGTAGGAAGCCTACCACACCAAGGACCTCCAGCCTCTACTGCCAGCAGAAAGTCCAGGCTTCCTGAGACCTGAGTCAGCAAGCCAGGGTCTGAGTGGACAGGTTATGCTGAGTGCAGGGCCAGGGGCACACTGGATGAAGACACAGAGAGGGCCCAGTTTGGGAGATTTGTAGAGGAAGCTTGAAAGGCAGCTAATCTCTGGCTGTGGATGAGATGCAAGTACTCATCAAAAGGACCAGGTCTGGGAATAATGGGGGCTCAGAGTCATGAAGCATGGCCAGTAGCCCCAGAAGAGCCCACCAGCCTCCCATGGTGCTTCATAGCCTCAGGCTGGCCAGGCATGGTGAGGCCTGCCCTTACCAGTGCCTATCATCAGGCCAACTCCCAAGATACTGGTACACCTTGATGTGGTTGTCCCCCGCATCTCCCACCACAAGGTGGCCCTGGGGTGAACAGGCCACAGCCAAGGGTCGCTGCAGCCCCTCTGACAACAAACAGATAGGCGTCCCAGCCCTGGGAAACAGGGTCACCTGGCGCCTCTGTTCATCAGCCACAATAACACTGCCCTCTGAATCAGAGCACACCCCTGCTGGGCGACCAAAGGTATGCGCCCTCAGAGCCCCCAGGGAGCCCAGGGGCTGGCAGGCACTGCCAAACAGCCACACATCCCCAAACTCCTCGCTCACAACAAGGCCCCCGTCAGGCTCTGGGCTCACCCAGCAAGGGCCCTCCAGACCCAGCACTGAGGCTGGGGCCAAGGGCTCCCAGGTAGGGCCCAATGTGAAGCTGTGCACAGCCCCACGCACATAATCTGTCACCAGGAATCGGCCAAGGGCATCCACAGCCAGCCCTCGAGGGGACAGGAATGTGCCCACCGTCACCCAGTGCCCCTGAGGGTCCCGGGGAGTGTGTTGAAGAGCATGGACAGCCCCATGGATGAGGTCGCTAACCACCACAAGCCCCGAAGCTGTTACAGCCACATCCTCTGGAACAAAGTTCCCAGCCTCCCGCATGCAGCAGGACAGGCGACAAATGGAGCGTCCCTCCAGGTCCAGCACATGGATGCAGGGTGCAGCCCCAGCTGTCAGAAAGAGCAGGCCATCTGAGGAGCAGTGCAGGCCTCGGGGCCCCCCTGCAGCCCCTGCAGGCGCCAGGATCTGCCCAAGCAGCCGGGGTGGCCGGGAACAAATGAGGTCTCCAGGCTGGTCCAGTGTGAGATGCAGTGGGGATCAGGTGGCCAGCAGGGGTGCCCAAGAAGTTGGGAAGTTGGGGAGGGAGGCCAGAGGCAGGAGGATGGGTGGAGTCAGTCTCAGTTCTTCTGCAGCTGCAAGAAAGGTGGCAATGGCCCACTGTGGCTCCTGGTGCCTTTCCTGAGGCACCATGGGGCTGATCTGGGGTATCTGTCTGCTCCCCAAGCTCAGCAACTACCCAGATGATCAGGTACCTTGGAGCTGGAGTCTGGGAGATGTGGCCTACCCATGAAAGGCACAGCATTGCAGTGTCCTGGGGTGGGAGTGAGGGAGTGGCAGATAAGTGGCATTTCCCAAACTCACCTGCTCATGGGACCCCTTCCCTTAGCTCCTGCCAGTCTCAGCCCCTGTCTGTGACCAGTTCAGGGAGACCTCCAAGCCCTGATCTGTTAGGTGGATCCTTTCTAGGACTCTCTGATGCCCCCATCCAGAGTGGCCAGCCAGAGTCCCTACTGGGTCAGACTCCCTGCTCCTGTTGTGGCAGCCTGGCCTCTGTTGTTGGAGACAGGTGGAGGGAGGGGTGGAGCTGCCTGGCAGTTTCCCTGCAGGGACAAATGGGAGGGGCAGTTGGCTAGTCCCAGTTATGCAAGAGCCCGAGAAAGCTCTGGAACATGGACCAAGTCCCCAGGCTGCTGACAACTTCCTGCCTTGGGCCTTCTCCCAAACCTGAACACAGGCCTTACCTTCCCACTTCTGCTATGTGCCTGGGTGCCTCTCAGCCTCACCCAACCCTTTCCAACAGGCCCCATCACAGCCAGAACCAGGCAGCCCCAGGCCACTGCCCCCAGGCAGGACCTTTGCATTAGGGCTTTGGGGAAGGTGACCTGCTGGCTGAGTCACCCTCCTCCCACCCCTCCACAAAGGCAGGTTGGTTCAGACTCTGCTCCTGTGAGGCTACCCCCAGCATGAGGAACTGGGGTGCAGTGGACATGGGGTGCCACAGGGTCTACCTCAGACTCAGGACCTCTGTCCTCCGACACCAGCTGGCTCTGCCCTATAGCCCCTGGGAAGCCTCTGGGCAGAGAGTACTCAGCTGGTACCTGTTGACCCCAATCTGCAACCCACTCTGTGTTCCTCACCCAGCCAGCTGGCACCCCAGCTCCAGACACTGCCTGTAACGCCTTGCAGTGGGGTGGCTGTCTGATGCTATCACCAGGCAGCACGGTCAATGGGGCAGTCAAGAGTCCTGCTCTGACTGGCCCTAGCCTGGCTGGCCCAGTCCCAGCTTGGCCGGCCAGGTACAGACAGGAATGGCACCTGGAGGGCAGCTTGCACTGGGCGTTCCCGGTGGCCATGGAGGACATGCCCACCCCCACCCTGGAAGGCCAAGCGGGCACTGGGAGGGAGGCAGCGAGCTGTGAAGGCCACCGATGCCTATCATGGCTGCAGGGACTGGCGGGGGCCCAGAGAAGGCCACATAGGGTGAGCAGCCCTGAGCCACAGAATGCAAGAGGCATCATGTAACCACATACAAGCTGTGCTAGGGCAGACTGGGCTGTCTGGGGCTGCAGGATGCCCAGGACCCTGCCCACCCCTAAAAAGCAAGTGAGATCATCCTGAGCAGCCCAGACTATGCAGGCATCTCCCTGCCCATCCTGTCTCTGTCCCTAGCCCCTCAAGGAGGGCTAAGTAAGGGCATTGGGATTGAAGGTGGGAGGCCAGAAGGGAGGTCAGGGACACTGCCCACCCAAGATGTCCAGGCTCTGACATTTCCTTGGGAATGTCCAGGCACTTTTGCTGGGGCAGCAAAGGAAGGAGGCCCAGGCAGCATGTTTGAAGGTGGTATCTATTTAATGTCTATGACTGTGATCAATAAATAACCATGACCTAGCAATTTCCACAGGGCTCTGAGATAGCCTCAATCACAGGCTGGTGGGGTCTGTCCACATGCACAGGCTGGACAGGCTCCTGGCAGGGGGCCCAGGGCAGGGGCAGGGCCATCACACTTATGTGGCTGTGGTTAGACCTCAGCACCTGTGGGGCTCTGCAGGCCAGGGATATCCTTAGGGGTCTGGGAGCCCCCAGCCCGGACACAAGTACCCCAGCCACGGCCAGGAATGACAGGGTCCTCATGGGCCTGGAGGGGAAGGCCGGGGGGTGGGACACTGGAGTCTGCCTCACACTTGGTGGTATGGCTGGAGAAGGGCTCAGGTGCTGTGTGGCCCAGCATGCTGGGAGTCTCAGGGGTCCCCCTTGCCAGTGTGGGGCCCAGCTCAGGCAGTTCCCAGGCCTCTGCTCGTGCCTCAGGTCCCTTGGCAGGCACCCGTTTCACAGAGAGGTCAAGAGGTGTGTCCAGTGGCCGTGCTGCCCGCTCCAGTGCCTGGTGGATGGTGAGCAGCTCTCGACGGATCTTTCCTAGCTGCTCCCGCAGAGGTTGGGGGGCCAGGCCCCCAACAGGCATCAACTGCCCCAGGTGCTGTTCCACCCTGGCATAGTCGCTGAGGGCCTGGGTCAGGTCCTCACCCACAGGTCCTGGGCTTCCCAGCACCTGGGCCTGTGACTGCTGGGCGACGGGGACCTCAGGACCTGAGGCCTTGGGGTCACCCAGCTCCTTGTCCTCAGGCCAGAGCATCAGGGAGGAGCCTGATGGCAGGCTGCAGAATAAGAGTCAATCAGAAGGTCACAAAGCCCCCCACAGTGCCCCAGACCCTGCCCCTTGGGTCCCTGACCAGCATGTCACCCATGGCCCCAGGGAAATGGAATAAGGTGCCAGTCTAGGGCTAGGAGCTCCCCAAAGACAGATGAGATGCTCTCAGGTCTCAGTTCTCCTCTGTGGCCTGGAGGCTGTACTCCCAGCAAGTTAGCTTGGAACAGGGTCCACCCCCAACCCAGCCCTTCCCTAAATTTTCGATCCCCAGAACCCGCAGTCCAAGGCACCCACCTGCTCTGGGAACCAAACTTCGCCAGGCTTGAGGAGGCCTTCTGGAGCTCCAGCCTGCTCCCCAGGGGCAGCTGTCTCTGGGGGTCTCCCTCCTGCCCTGGATCCCTGGGGGTGCCATGGGGCCAGGCCCCCCCCAGCCCTGGAATGGGCACCTTCAGCAGCCCAGGAGCCAGAGTCCCAGGGGGTCCCTTAGGGGGCATAGAGGGCTTGGCAGGGCCGGCCCTGCCAGCTGGTAGCCCTAGACTCTGCTCCAGGAGCAGAGGATAATATAGGCGAGGGGCTGGGGCTGCCCGCTCAGGGGACTGTGGGGAGGGGAAGGTGGCAGCGGGAGGCAGCAGAGGGCTGGCTGAGGCCAAGAAGGGCATGTGGGCAGCAGCAGCCAGTGATGGACCCAGGTAGGAGAAGAGGCCAGGGCCAAGAGGGTAGTTGACACCCAGCAGTGACAGGTGGACGCTCTGGGCCTCTGGGAATTCACCCGGGGTGGGTGGTGGGTAGCAGGGGACACTTCTCTCAGGGCCTGTTGAGGCTACAACCCCTACAGCCATGCTCCTTGTACCACTGCCCAGCTCTGGCTTCCAGGACTCCATCAGGAGCCTACCAGGGCCAGGACCCTTCTGAGCAGCCCTGGCCAGAGTGGGCAATGACTCTGGAGACCCCTTGGCCCCAGGCTTAGGGACCTCACTGCAATGGCGCTGGGAAAGGCCGTCAGTGACCATGGCGTCTGGCACGGTGGGCTGCCTGCCATGGCTTGGGGGGTCCCCAGAACCATCTGGGGTAGACATGTGGGGCCTGGGAGAGGAGGGGGCACGGCGGCACGCCCAGTCTGGGGAGTCCAGCAGCAGTGAGAGGGAGTCTTTGCAGAGGCTGTACTTCATGTGGTTGTAGAGGTGGGACTTCTCCAGGCACGTGAAGGGGCACTGGAAGCACTTGTAGTTGTAGGGTTTGCCCCAGGGCCGGGGGATGTAGTGTGGCTTCTTGGGCTTCCGAGACCTTGCCCTGGCCCCAGTTCCCACACGGCACGAGCCAGCCTCACGGGACATGGTGGCTGGCTAGTGGGCAGACTGGGGCACCATGGCTACCTGCAGACAGGGGACTGCAGTCAGCACCAAGTCCCCCAGATTTCCCACTTCCCTTCCTCAGGGCTCCTCAGCTCCAGGAGAAGAGCCCAGGTGCCCCTACCTCCTCTGCCCTGTGGCTTCAGCCCCCTCCCTGAATGCCTCTCCAGGAACCTATAGGGCCTCCAAATTGTCAAATGAAGAATGAGGCACCCAGTCAAACCTAACACAGACATCCAGTAACTTTCTAGGGTAAGTATGGGCTCTGCTGATTTGGAAACTACAATAAAAATTATTCATCATTTACCTGAAAGAAAAGTTTAACTGGGTTTCCTGCATTTTACTGGATGATCCTATACAAATCCCTCTGGCCATGAGTACATGCTGGCCCCTGCAGGCCAATTTCTGGGATGGTCAGTCTCTAAGCAGCCCCACCTCCACACAGGCAGGCACCTGAGAGCATTTGGTAAGAGAATGAAGGAAGCCAAATGTGACCATTGCTCCTCCAGAGACCCAGCCCCTATTGAGCCATCTGCCTCTGTGGAGTCAGAGGCCAAGGTGAAGACCACTGAGACAGAAAGTAGCAAAGGCAGCTGAGCACAGTGGTGCACACCTGTGTGATCCCAGCAAGTCAGGAGTCTGAGGCAGGAGGGTCGCAAGTTCCAGGCCCGCCTGGGCCACTTAGCAAGACCCTGTCTCAAAATAAAAAATAAAAAAAGGCTGGGGAGCAGCTCAGTGGTAGAGTGCCCTTGGGCTTCATGCCCAGTACTAGCAGAGGCGCAAGTGTCTGGTTAACACTGCGTGTGTGCCTACACGCCTGAGATGCTCCACCATTGTGTCAGGTGGGCACGGGAAATGTCTGAGGGGAGTCAGCCTCACGTGGGGCCAACCCAGGCTGGGGGAGTGAACTTCACAGTATGGCCCCTCAGCACAGCCACCTGCTCGGCCCAGCTCCATCTGGGAGGCTTCAGGCAGGTCAATGACCAAGCCTGCAGTGGCCCTGCTCAGCCAAGACCCTCTTCTCCCCACGCCCCACAACACAGGCTGGCTTGGAAACTGCTCCACACTCCATCTGGGCTGCCACCTGGGCTGCCCACTGCCCCAGCACTTGTGCCTGGGCGAGGTGCATGGTGTGTGTGTACACACAGGCTTTGGGTGTGTGTGTCGTGTACAGGGTTGCAGAAGCCCTTGTTCAGCCCCTGCAGGAATAACCTCTGCATGGCAAGCCGATTCTGCACAGGAGGCCTCCATGTGCAGAGAGCCTGGCACACACACACAGCCCTACCCTACTCGGTGGACATGGCTACTCGTACACCAGAGCAGAGTTAGGGCATATGTGTACACACACACCCAAGTACACAGGCAGATACTGTAGGGACTCACACACGGTTACAAAACCACAAGTGTGGACACACTGTGCCTCACAATGGCCAGGGAAGGACTGGGGATAGCTGGGCAGTTGCTGGACACAGCCTTCCTTCCTGATGGTGTTTATGCTTTACCCACTGCAGTTACCCTTGTGGCCACCAAACACCAGGTGGGCATCTCTATTAGAGGAATGGCCAGGGGGTGGGGAGGGCTATCTTTCCAAATGTTTGGGGCCCCACAGGGCAGCATCGCCAAACCTGGGTGTGGAGTGTGGGCCAGCAAAGGCTTAGAAGAGCTGCAAGTTTGGAAGGAGGCAGCTGGCCCAGGAAGGGGCTGCAGACCCAGCTTGGACTTGGTGGGTACAAAGCAGCCCCTTCTCCCTGCCTGGTCCCCCACCCCACGAGATGTAGATGACAGATAGGAGTGCTCAGGCGACAGAGGCGGCTGTGCTGGGGCCATCGATCACCCAGCCCTGGGAGCCACACAGCTGTGCCAACTGGTGCTGCCTCCTACTCCACCTCCCAGCCCGGATTTGGGGCTCCTCCTGGGCCCCTGGACTCAATGGGGGTTCCTCCTGTGCGTCCCTCCAGATCAGGCACAAGAGGGGGGGCTCTTCTGGAAGCCATCTTATCAGCTGTTGACCCATGAGGACCCAGAGGACATCTGGGACCCACCCAGCACGGATGCATGGAGGGAGGACACCCCCACACCGGTACAACAGGAAAACACTCACCTCCACACAGCACATCCCAACCTGTGCCCAGGTGCAAGCTCACAGACACTTGGAAGCATCCCCTTCTGGGGGAGAACCCGCTGAAGGGGGTACTGGGCAGCCACCAGGTCACAGCCCGCCGATCTCCTTGACCACTCGGGACTCTGGGTGCGCCACCCATGGGCTAACGAGGGAGCCGAACCCAGTCTTCCCCTGGCTGAAGCGCAGCTGGTTGGGACCCCACACCCTTCCCCCGACTCCCCGCTGCGGCGGCGCCAAGGTGGCCCCTGGCAGAGCCTGGACCCCAAACGCAGTGGCAGTGGGGAGCTGGGGGAGCCGCGCTGCTGCTTTCTGCGCCCCGCGCCCTGCCCGGCCCGCCCGCCCGGCGCCCCAACTTCGCGGGAAGCGCCGCCTGCCTTACCCGCGTCCGCCAGCCGAGCCGAGCTTGCGGCGCCCGCCAAGTCTGCGCCAGGCTGCGCGGAGAGGCGAACTTCCCGCCCGCGCCCGCGGACGCCTCAGGGAAACTGAGGCCGGGCGCGGGAAGCGGCCCTTACTCGGCAGCGACCCTGGAGCCACCGCCGCCTCTGCCCGCGTCCCCCCGACGCCGCCTCGCGCCCACCGAAGTTGGCGGCGAAGCGCGCGCGTGCGCCACGGCGCGGGCTCCGGGCGCGGCGACCTCCGACAGGGCTGGGGCGCGGGAGGCGGAACGGCCCCAGCCCAGGACGCCCGCCCCACCTCCTCCCTCATCGCCTTGGCGCACTCACCGGCCTCACCGGACGGCTCGGGATGGAACAGCGCCCGACACGCCGCGGTGCAGCCGAGCCCGAGTGGCGCGCAGGTGCGCGGCGAGTGAGGGGCGCCTGGCACCGTCCCCGCCCCCGTCGCCTGCAGGCTGCCGCGGGGGTGCGCGGAGGCGGCCAAGTCTCCCGGGTCCCGGCAGCGGCGTGAGGGGGCGTCAGCGCTCATCCGTCAAGGCTGTGGCCCCTGACAGCCGCCTGGCCACCCAGGCTGGGGCTGCGGGCTGTGCCCCAGGACAGGGTGCCCCCCAGAGCCAGCCGGGAGGGACCGCGCCTAGAGCTGAAGAAGTGGAGCCAGCGCGCCCTTGCAGCTTTCCTTGGGCCCGTTCGCCTCTACGGATCCTTTACTCCAAACCGGAGGCGAAATGGGTGTGCTCCCCACGCCTGGCCCACAGCCGCCACTGCCTCAGGCTGGTCACCTCGCGCTGACACCTATCTGGGTCCAGCGCCGTGCTCTGTCCTCATTCCCCCCTCCCTGGGAGGTGCCCCAGGGCTGCATTCGCCTGCTGTTTCAAAGACCTCTTCTCACTAGCCACACTCCTGGGAGAACCTGTGCAATGGTGAGGGGACCTCAAGGCCCTGGGTGTTCACCCAGCACACCATGAATCCGGGCAACACTCTCCCCCAGTGTCCTCATGGCCAGAGCTGTTCTGCAGCTGTCAAAACTGAACATTCCAGGGTCCCACTTCTCAGCCGGTCCTGGCAGAAATTCACCTGATCCATCCACTCCACCTAGAAGTGGACAGAGATGCAGCTGGGCAGAGCCAGATGATTTCCTTCCAGGAGTCTGCCTATGATTCTCAGAAGACTCCTGACCCAGAGTTGTGTGGCAATTTTCGGCATAGTGACTCCAGCCAGAGGAGTAGTCACTGCCTGCTCTGTGGAGGCAGAGAGCCACTTGACCCCTGTACACCAAGGCTTCCTGCAGGCTCAGCTACTGATTCCTGGGGCCTCCCTAGCCTAGGTCAGGGGAGCAGAAGTCCTGGGGGGAAGAAGAGGACCCTCAAGTGGCTTCTGGTGTTGCCTTTTTGATGGGGTAGCCAGAGAGGAGCACTGGACCCAGAAGCCTAGCATCACCTGGTTCCGTGACCAGCCAGTTTGTGCAGTGGGGTGATGGCAGGATCCCTCTGCTGACCAAGGATCAGGGCCCCATGGTTTTGGGGGATGGGCAAAACCTTCCTCCTGCCCCCATGTTACCTTTCTGACACTAGCCCACTCCTGAGGGACACCCCAGAAGGGCTGGGGGATGGGAGGGGTGCTGTGGCCAGAACAGCATGCCATCCTTCTCTCCCTGACTGGCCTGGCCCAGCTGACCAGCTGACCGTGCAGGTGGCCCCAGGCTGGGAGACAGCTTGGGCTGCCATCTTGCCAGCAGCCCTGTGGAGAGTGGGGGCCAGGATACCATCCCTTGTTATGAGCATTGACCAGAGAGGCCAAAGTCACTCTGAGACAGTGGGAGTGAGGGGTCCCAGGGACAGCTGTGTTCTCTCTAGTCCTCACTGGCCAGCCTCAGGCTGACCGTTCTGAGGGTCTGGGAGAAGCTATTTCTGACAGCACAGGGGATGGGCTGGCTGGAGGCTGTGGCCATCATCCAGGGAAGCCCTGGTCTTAGAGAGCTGTGATCTTGGGGATCTGTGGTCTTAGGGAGTCTGGTCTTGGAGAGCCTGGTTGTGGGGAGCTCTGGTGTTAGGGAGTCTGTCTAGGGAATATGTCATGGAGAGCCCTAGAGAGCCTGTTTTGGGGAGCCTCATCATGGAGAGCCTGTCTTATGGAGCCCGTCTTGGGGAGCTCGCCTTGGGGAACCTATCTTAGGGAGTCAGTCTTGGGGAGTCCTGGTCAGAGGGAGCTTGGTCTTGTCATGTAGGAGCAAAGCCATGTGAAGCTCAGGTGACTAGATAGCCCCAGAGGGGGGAGGAGGCCAGGACAGGGTCAGAAAAGCAGGAGGTAGCAGGAGGGGCCCACTCTGCCCAGCAGTGGAGCCCCTTCCCCTACCTGATGGGAGAGAAGAGGAGGGACAAACCCTGAGAGGGAAAGGCACACCCTGGTTGCACTCTGGGGCAAGCCCTGGGTTTGCTTGAGAAGTCTGGGGCTGGGCATGGATGGCTGTC